AGACAGTGCTGATGGCCTCATGGAGGTCCTGACAAGTTCCTGGAATGAGTCCTTGGATAAATCCCTGGTGGTGTCCTTCCTCACGGCAGAGATCAGCCAGCTCCTCACTCACTGCAGCAAGGAGGAGTTTGCATGCAGGTACAGGACCCTGCGGGCACTGGCTGACAGCTGGATCAGGCCCTACGTGGAGGTGAAGCTCTAGCAGCGAGCGGGGCCACGCTGGCCCTTGGGACGTGCGGGAGGGCTGTTCCTCACCTCACCAGTGCCTGCTGTCCCCTTTGGTTCACCTCAGCCTGCCCCTCCCTCAGGGCTTGGCACAAACAGGGTGGTTTGGACTCAGTGCTGAGTGTGTGTTGCCTCTTGCCTGGGGCAGCCAAGGAGCCAGATTGGGAACTGTAGATTGCTCTGGAATGGGTAACCGGCCGCTGACCTGGCTCACAGGAGAGGGGGCTGGCAGCCAGCCCTGGGGGGTGTGGAGTGGTTGGGGATGGTATAATGACATGTGACACTATTGTTTGATCTGCATCCAGCGGCCACAGGTCCTCCCAGCATCCAGCTGCGGTGTGTTGTGCAACAGAGCAATAAATCGGTCTGGCCTTGCTCAGGAGCTGCCTCTGTCTCTGCGCCAGCTGTGGCCAAATGGGACGTGGGGCTTGCTTGGCCCCTGAGGGCCCAGGATGGTGCTTCCCGGGGGTCTGGGAACCTTGCAGTGCCCCCATCATGGGGGAGCCTGACTGTCAGGCAGCCACAGATCTGGAGGGCGGCAATCTCTGCTGCCGGCAGTGATCTGGAGTGGAGGAGTTGTTTGTCTGGTTGCGGAAGCTGCTTTCAATTCCTCAGAAACCAGCCCTCCCTGTCAGGGGAGGTGGGGTGATGCTGCGGGTCACAGCCACCCAAACAAAGCTGCAGCAGCGTGGGGAGCAAAGGCCTCACACACATGGGGTGGGGAGGACAAGCACAGGAGCAAACAGGCCCCAGCCCTGGGGTGTTGCTCTCGATGGGCAAGCACTCCCTCTCCCCTTGCCATGAGAGCAGCCACAGCCACAGCAGCTCTGATGCCCACCGGGTGGGCATGCAGGGGGTGTTCTGCTGCCATCTGTGTTTTCCCCAGTCGCCACCCCCTTCATGCATGCTTGGGTTTTGGTAGTCAGCCCGTGGCAGGCGCAGGATGGCGCGTGGTTGGGGATTTCCTCTCAATTGAGGGTTTTGTAACATTATCTGATACTATCAAATCTCTGACTAAATATAGTGCAGAATTTCCTAAAACACTTTTCTGTGCACTCGGAGCTGCCTCTGTCACCTTCAGCCCTGCTTGAGGGGCTCTGCCTGCCAGCCCCTTGCCCTCTCTCCTCCTGATACATACAGGCACCACATTTTTGGAGGGATCTCCCCTCTGCACCTTGCTGTGCACACCTCCAACCCTGCCTCCCCTCCCAGCATGGCGCAGGGACGGCAGAACTGTTTGCCAGGTCACCATGACCAGCTCCATGGCCACAGGCACGTGCCTGTGCTGAGGCTGCTGCCAGCACAGCTCTCTGAGTGCTGCAGGGTCCCCTCAGCATCCATCACAACACCCTCCCTGCTGGGAGCACAGGAAGTAACTCATCCTGATCTTGGGGTAAACATATTTCCCAAGAGTGAAATTGCCCAGCTGGGATGAGCCTGGCTGTAATTTACCCCCCACGGGAGTGTTGGGCTGTGCCCTCCCTGCTCCACCTGGCCCTTGCTCTGATCCACCCAGGCCATCCGAGCTGTGTTCCCAAGGTCGTGCTGGCAGGGTCACAGCCCAGTTTTGTTCCCCAGTATTGCTGGGGGGCCCCAGCTCCCAAACCCCCTTTGACAGGGCTCTTCTCACCTTGCTAGAAGGCAGCAGTCCTCCAGCAGCCCTGGAACAGACAGGGAAGAAAGGCCCCTTTGCTGGGGACTTGAAAACCCAAAGCTCCCAGGGGGGCTGTGCAGCTGTCCCTGCTCCCCGACGTTGCTCCATGTGCTGCACATGTGCTTTCTGGCTGGAATCGCTTTTATTGCTTAGCCCCTCAAGGCCTCACTCATGTTGGCAGAAGCTTTTCAGTGGTGGGGGCAGGTCCAGGCCCTCGATGGCCAGGCGGTGGATGATGTGCTTCTGGATGACCAGCCGGCAGAGGGTCTGCAGGGAGGGGACTGGAAGAAAAGAGAGAGAAGAGTTTGAACCAGCCAGGAACGCAGGGACAGGCCCCAAGGCTCCCCGGGGCTCCGTGGTTTAGGGCAGTGGTGGGTGAGCTTGCCCTGTGGCAGGAGCAGGTATCATCCTGCCTTGAGGCTGTGGCTGGGACCGGAGCTGGAGGGCCTTGTGTGGCGAAGGTCTCCTGTTCCCCAGCAGAAGGTTGGGAGGGCAGTTGTGTGCCCAAGCCCTGTGTTACTGAGCTGCTTTGCAATTGTTTTCCCTGGGAGCCGTTGAGCAGCCCCCCGGGGTCTCACGTGCCCATGCTGCGCTTAGTCTGCTCCCACCAGTGCCAGGCTGCTGGCTGCAGAGGCTGCTCTGGCCGTGCCTCTGGAACAACCATCTCCTGAGCCATTCCATGGCTCTGCCTGGTTCCTGCTCCTGTTTGGTCACAATTAGCTATGGCTGCTGCTCTCAGGTTTTAAAGAGCCAACTCTGGCACAGTTAGTGGGCCTTGGTTCACTCACTGCATCCAAGCACCACACCGGAGGGGAGCCCCCTGAGCGTGACAGACCCCGAGCCAAGCTGCAGGTGGGAGCTGGAGCCAGAGCTGGGCTCTGCTGAGCACAGCTGGCTCCTGACCTTGGGGCTGTTTTGGGATGGCTGGAGCACTTATCTCCACCGTGCGCGGTGCTGGGTGACGGGTCACAGACGCCCTTGGTGCAGCCTGTCCCCCCGCGCCGCCTGTCACTGCAGCACAGCCACTCACTTCTGGGTTTCACTTCTCCAGCTGGAGCCCAGCCAGGGTCAGGACCGCACTGAGCCTGGCTGTTCAAACCC